GAAAGTTCAACTCTGGAAGACTGATAGCCTCACCTTCTCCTGCCGACCTCCACATCTCAAACTCAGCCACGTCCAATCAGCTCCATGTCTGCCAGTGAATAAAAGCCAGTCGTCTCAATCGCCCCGTCTGCATACCAGCTGATCGTTAACCTACCACCACCCCTCCTCCACCCTTCATCTTCTAAAGAAGGTGCACCTGGACCAGTTCTTCTGTGTTTGTGTGTGTCTCTTTCCTGTCCCTCAACCCAGCCGGTCGAGGCAGATGGCCGCCTGTCCTGAGCCTGGTTCTGCTGGAGGTTTCTTCCTGATTAGCAGGGAGTTTCTCCTCTCCACCGTTTGCTCAGGATGGGAGACTGTGATGAAGTGATTCAACACAATCTGCTGGTTTCTTCTTTAGATTGATCTTTTTCCCTTCATGTACAGTGCCCTGAGTCAGCGTATGTTTTGACTTGGCACTATTTAAATAAACTGAATCGAACTGAATTGGTATAGGGCTCCCCTCTCTTTTGACCTCCACCACCAGTGTCGGGCCCCAGGGGGAAGAAAYCTCCTACCCCTAACTCAAAGCATCTCGTATGAGATTACAGCTTCACTCAGCGCTCTCGTCCTCTGCCGGGGTCCGAGCGCCAAACTCTAATGCCATTTATGTCAAAAACCATGTTGGTCCAGTCATGTCAATAAACCTCCTAATTGTGGTTTTTGTGTGAGTTCTTCCAGGCTGAATTATTATTCTTTGTGTGTGTGTGTGTTGGTTAGAGCACTTTTTATGCCTGAGACATTTAAACTGTCATCCTAACAAACCAACAAATGTYATAAAGATGATCAGGAACCGGAATGAATATGAGTCATAAAAAAACAAATAGCCTTTCAGAGAGGTTAAACAAAAAAATCCTTTGAAGATTGCGCAAAATATAAATGAAGGACACTTAACAGAAAAAGTTCAAAAGACTTTCCAAAATCTAAAGCAAAATGTTTGCTAGTATCAGTGTAGTTTGGGTTATGTTTTGTAGTCCTGTTGTTTTTATTGTGTTTTTTTTTCCTTTTGGTTGCCGTCTTTTATTTTCTGTGTTCTGCTGTTCTTCTGTTTACTTTTGCCACCTGTGTTTTTATTTAACCAGT